CCAGCTTCTACACCCACTCCTGCCTCCCATCCCCCTGCTCCTTCTCTTCATCCTTTTCCTCCTCTCCCTGATTTCCTCCACCCTGCCACCCTCCGACTCCTTCCTCCGTCCTCCCTCCTCCTCCTCCCTCCTCCCTCCTCCTGCTTCTGATCCTCCTCCTCCTCCTCGTCCTCCTCCTGCCTCCTCCTCCTATTCCCTCCTCCTCCTCCCTCCCTCTCCCTCCTCCTTGCAAGCCCCCCCACCCCCCACCCCCTTTCCCCAGCGCCCCTCCCGCAGGTCTTCGCGAAGCCTGTCCTGCCCGAGGTGGAGCTGCTGCCCGACGCCCTGCGCGGGAACGGGCCGCCGACGCACGGGGGAGGGTGCGGCGGATGGCGCGCGGGCGGGGGAGAGGGGGAAGGAGGAGGAGGAGGAGGAGGAGGAGGAGGAGGAGGAGGAGGAGGAGGAGGAGGAGGAGGAGGAGGAGGAAGGGGGGGAGGAGGAGGGAAAGAAGAGGAGGAAGGAGGGACTCGGAGGAGGGAAGAGGAGGGAGAAGGGGAAGGGAAGAAGGAGGGACTCGGAGAGTGACGGGAGCTCTGGGTGCTTCCCCCGCCGAATCATTATCTTCCATGTCTGCGCCGCGCCTTTACTTCTGAGGACCAGTCAAACAACATTTCGAGCGATTCCTGACTTGGTTCACGTTAAATCTGCCCAGAGCGTTCTTCCAGCGTTTTCAACTCGGCGTTTGGGAAATCATTTTTGGGGCGCTTTCAGGTCTCAACAAACAACTGCAAACGCTAAACACACGAGTGATTTAGCGTGTTCCGACCATGCTTTAGCGTGTTCAGATCCGTGGATTGCGTGTTTGCTTTTCCTTGCGTATCCCTATCGTCTTCTTCATGCAAGTTGCTGTGCAGTGGCCGTCGCTGGTGACTCGTCGCGGAAGCCCGCCCTCCCCTGCTGCCCCCCCCCCTTTCCGGTGTTAGACCCGTGTCAGAGCGATGTTTGTTTGCGTGCTTTGGTCTCCGAGCGGGAAGCGGTGTTTGTGCCCCCCCCATGCACGCAAGTCATGGATCAAGGCAGGTGCGTCGACCCGGGGGAGGGAAGGGGGGTGCGGAAAGGGCGAACGGTGGCAGGGCGGGAAGCGCGGGAGCCAACCTGGCAGAGAAGGCAAGGAGGAACCTCCGACAATAATGCAAAAAAGACGCAACAAGACGCTGAACCACAGCGACGAGCCTGAACACACCAAAACAACTAACCTAAAAACGGTACGAAAACGCTGCGTTTATATAGCGCTGTCAGCCGTCCAAGAGGCCAAACTGGAAAACGGAAAAAAGCCAGTGCGTTTTTAAGACGAACCAAGTCTAAAGGTATAGGACAAGCGTAGGAGTAGCACTTGCCGCAGGCATATGAGAGTGCCGTCGGTGCACGAACAAAAAAACATCCAGCTTGTGGTTATGACGAGCGAAGGCCAGAACTCTCTCTGGTGGGGAGCCCGCGCAGCCGCTCTTGGGAGGCTTCTGCTGTCCTGCTGGTCGAGAAGACACACGTGGCACCTCCAACAACGTCGGCACCGTGTCCGCTCATTTTCGGGCCCCTGAGTTTTGGGCGCTCTGCCAGCGCCAGGCGCAGGAACTCGAGTCAAATTGAAACGAGGCCACTCGGGGAGAGCACGGGCAGCAAGAAGGATAACAGCCCGAGCGGCCTCAATATAGTCCTGACTTAGGGCGTGGCCTGCCTAGGCGAAGGGTGGATGCGGGCCGGCCCTCCTCTTCGCCGCCATGTCCGCTTCAGCATTGCCAGTCTCAGAATCTGGTGGCTTCTACAAGTCCCTCGTCCGAGGCGTGGGCATTCACCTTTTGGACGCGGGGGTACTTAGAGTTGGGCATGTTACGCAGCGAGCCAGCATGCGGCCGCTTGTAGCGAAGCTGGACAGACATATTATAAAATTGAAACTGTTGGCCACGTGTTTACACCCAGATTTTCATATAGTTTCCTCTGAACTTCGTGCCTACCATGAAATTGTCTTAGAACCCCGAATGTTTGAAAAACAGAAACATTGTGCTTAGAACATGAACCCGATGTGTTAAAATAAAGCAGTCTCAGCCAGAAATGGTCTAAGAACATGTCGTCGAGATCACAAAAGGTTCTTTGCACATTCATTGGTGGGCCTATGGGCAAGCCAAGACGCCTCGCCACTGCTTGACAGAAACAGCCCGTCTGGAGGCCATCAGACCCCCCGACCCAGGGGAACGAACAATGACATAAACATAACGTATCGGAGGTTCGCGCGGATTTCTCGGATCGGCGCTCGACACCCCTCCCTGGCGTGTGGAGCGCGCTCGGGGCGTCGCCGGAGGCGCTGCCAGGGGGCGCTAGCGCCGATCAGATGAATCCGCGCAGACCTGCGAGTTGTTATGTTTATACAATTGTTCGTTCCCCGAGTATCAGACCCCCCGACCTTCGACTGCCTGAGGAAAACCTACGGCAAGCTGCAGAACCACTAGGGAACACCGAGCCCCTCCCAAACGAGAAGGGTTCCTTCTGTAGCGCCCCGACTGTATCAGACCCCCCACCACTTTCAAATCTCTTCGAGCCTGGTTTTCTTTGGACTCGGGCAAATTTGCTTGCATGGACGCGGGGGGGCCTGAGAACAAAAACAGCTCGACGTGCGGAAATCACGCAAGTTGAAAGGCACTTGCACGCTCGTGTTCGAAGAGCGGCGAGGGGGGGGGAGGGGGCGAACGCCATGCAAGCAAACTCGACTGGACCCAAAGAAAAACAGGCTCAGACAAGGAAAGAGGAAAGCAGAGAGTAAAACAAAGAAATATCCTTCCTCCTCCTGCTCCTCCTCCTCCTCCTCCTGCCTCTTCCTCCTCCTCCTCCTCCTCCTCCTCCTCCTGCCTCCTGCCTCCTCCTCCTCCTCCTCCTCCTCCTCCTCCTCCTCCTCCTCCTGCCTCCTCCTCCTGCCTCCTCCTCCTCCTCCTCCTCCTCCTCCTCCTCCTCCTCCTCCTGCCTCCTCCTCCTGCCTCCTCCTCCTCCTCCTCCTCCTCCTCCTCCTCCTCCTCCTCCCCGCCCGCCCCGCCGCTCCCGGGGCGCCTCCAGGGACGCCTGCGCCTGAGCGAGGTGCACGCCGAGCTCCTCGGGGCGCGCGGGGGCCCCGCCGCGCGGAGGGGGGGTGGCCGCTGCCGGGTGCTGCCGCTGCGCCGGTGGCAGGGCAAAGGACCACCTGTAGGTCGGGAAAGAACGTATTTAATGGTCAGAAAAGACTCCCCCCCAAAAGCAGCACGTATTAGAAACATCGTCCCAGGCTATGCTTCAGATGTTTGAATGTTCCTCCTGTGTGAGGCACACGCCCGACTTCAAACCACCTGCCAGACCACTCCAACCTAAACCCGAAGATCCAAATTTGGGGTTGGGGGGTTCAGGGAACCCGTACCATAATGACGCACGATGAGGGTGCAGGGGCCTTGGGAGGCCACGATGACACTCTCGGAGCGGGGCGCGGCCAGCGAGAGCGGCCAATGATGGACCGAGGAGGCAAGGGTGCAAAGGTACCCTTGGGAAGGTTGCCCATCCTTGCTATGCGGGTTGACTGTACACGGGTTCCACATGTGTGTGTGTGTGTTCCATCTTCCCCGACGCCCCCCCCACACCACTGGGGACGGAGGGCAAATCAGGCCCTTCGGGTGGGACTGGGTTGGACCGATCACATGAAGCTGCAAGCTGCGGCTGCACTCCTTCGTTCGATGGGGAACGAACCATCCGACAATGCGAGTCGAGGAAGACGACCGCAAAAAACGCACGGGAGGCCGTGGGGGTAGACGTCGCGGCCGCCACTGGCTCCGAGCATGGCGCAGGCAAAGCCGCGGTGGCGCACGCCTCTGAAGGAGCCCTGGGACCCACAAATAAATAGACACAGATAACAGGATTCCCCGTATTTCCCCATACTTTCTGGGTGCTTGTCTTCCCCCCACTTCCCATATTTCCTGATATTTTCTGGGACGATTAATTGTGTCTGCGTTTTGGTTTCCCTCCTGAGCCTCCCTCAATGCCCCACAAGAACACATCGGGGATCTTGGCGGGGGCGCCAACGCACCGACTCCGTGCTCTGGTCCACGAGGGAAGCGGGTCGCTTCCAGAATGTGGCTCTCGCCCTGGCGCCGCGCACATCTGTTCTTTTTGACGAGTGGCACGAGCTTCACAGATTGGGAGCGGGTGGTTCTTGACGTGTTGCTCTCGTCTTAGCGCCGCGTCCATTTGTCGTAGACGTCTGGATGTTTCTACAGATTTAGGGCGGGTGACTTTCAAAATGTGGCTCTCGGCCTGAGCGCAACGCACGTTCGTTTTGTTCTTCTTTCGCAGGATAATGTTTTACGGATTGAGGGCGAATCCTTCTCATGTTCAAAATGTGGCTCTCGCCTGCGCGCCGCGTATATTCGTCTTGAAACGTTTGAGAGGGTTTCGCGGATTCCCATAGCCGACGTGCCAGACATGGTGTTTGGAAGGACTCAGGACTGTGAAGGCGCAACAGTTACGTTGAAACGCGATGCTGAGGTCCCAGGAACGGTGTTCTGGTACGATTCAAGATCGTCAAGACGCAGCAGTCATGTTGACTCGTGGCGTTGGAGTTCCGAGAATTGTGTTTTGGCATCCTTCAGGGTCTTCAAGCTGATGTCTTCCAGTGAGGCATTTTCCTCAGAGGGAATGAACGATTGTAAGTGCCTATAAAGGGGAAGCTTGGAGGGGAGTATTCCAATATCGTTGACGAGTCTTGGGTTTCCACTGGTCCCCCCCTCCTCCTCCTCCTTCTCCTCCTCCTCCTCCTCATCATCCTCCTCCTTCTCCCCCTCCTCCTTCTCCTCACTCCTCCTCACGACACTCACCCTCGTCCTCGTACCCGCCGTCGTCGCCGTCCCCGTTGCCGCCGTCGTCGTCGGCGTGTGCCACTCCGACATCCTCACAGACGACGGTTGACGAAGCAAAGGTGAAGCGCTCGGCCGCTGCCCGAGCCGAAGGCCGTTTCACGCAGCTCGCGACGCCCCGGCCTTCCGAAGCTCCGCGCGGCCCCGTGGCAGCGGCTCAGCTCCGGGTGCCCTCCTGAGTGACCCGTATCCTCTCTCACCTTGTCCTCCAGGCTCCTCCTCCAACCCCGTCCTGCTCCCCCTTCCCCTCCTCCTCATCCTGCTCCTCCTCCTTGTCCTCCTCCGCCTCGTCGTCCTCCTCCGCCTCATCGTCCTCCTCCGCCTCCTCCTCCTCCTCCTCCTCCTCCTCATCCTCCTCCTTTCGATTCCAAAAAGCCCAGGTCCAACCGATCCCGTTCCCCTCTCGCTCTCCTTCCCCTGCCCCCTTTCCTCTCCTCTCCAACCCACCCGGCCCTCCCCCCCTTGTCCTGTACCCCCGCCCCCTCCCCCTCCCCCCCCCCCCCCCCCTTCGGCCAGTTCCTGCCCAGCCCTCCCCGCAGCCACTCCCCTCGTCCTGCTGCCCCTCCTCCTCGAGCGGGTCGTCGGGTCGTCGTCGTCGTCGTCGTC